TTAGGAATTTAAAAACATGTTGACGTCATTTTGACATAGTTGCCTCCCACCTCCTTCAGGTACAGATGACAGATTTTTGCATTTCAGCTTATAGCGCTTCGGATTCTGCTCGTAATAACAGAAACTTTGTTTCAATGTCAATAAGCAAAAAATGTTCATTCAGAACTTCATATAGAGAAAAGCTGATAATTGTCCAGTATAAATGTGAACAGTCCGCACTTCATTATTCATCTTTCCGCTGTAGGTTGTAAGCTGTCATCTGTACCCACCATTACTTCGGATAATGATGGAAGTAAGATATGGTGTAATGAGGGTGTAATTACTGATGCACTTTTGTTTCAGAAATTTTACTCGACCTCTCGAGAGCAGCGAAAGCAATGGTTCCGTCGATCTTCTAATAGATGGCGACATTGCACAATTATGATATTTGTCAGTTTTGAAATTGTCGCAGATTTTTCGAATTCAGAGTTGTTTAATCCCACTGTTACATATGTTCCGCGTACCTAAAATGGCATTTGCCATTTTATTTTCACGCGTCACAGCAGCAATAGCAACATCACCATCTAGCAGGAAAATGTAGAATCAACGTCTCGCTCGTTGTGACGTAGAGAAATCATAGTTGGCCGGTCGCATATAAGCAAAACGTACATCTATTCGGCAAACGGCCTGTATCTACGCTTTCTGATTGGTTGATGCCAAATAACAGTACACATTGCTATACCGGCGCCAAATAGATGTACAATTTGCTGCAGATCTCGCCGCCAAATAGGCAGTACGAATTGCGTATGATACCTAAAATAGATGTACACTTTGCCATCTGCATAGGGCTCGCGCTTTTGTTTTTGTTTTTGGTCAATGGTCAGTCATTATTATGCAAGCAGCACGTGCATCCTATCATTGAGTTGAATACCTAGTTGAGTTTGATTTCAATACCTTATTTCAATATGGAATTACCCCAATCTTTCAAATATAAGACGAATGGAGTTACTAACAATAACAGTTTATGGAGATAATCTAGAAGAATGTGATATGTGGATTCGGGAACTTTCTAGGTTAAATCACACGAAATGGATCGTACGTGAAAGTGCTCCCAATTTAAAACTTTTTGTGTGTTCGTAAGTATAGCTGAGTAATAATGTTTTATTACTTATTATGTGCTGTGCTATGCTGAAAGTGGGGTGATATTTATGATATAGTTTTGATGTAACAGAGGATTTTTTTTTGTTAGATTTCGGTAGGGGTTTGGGGGAGGTAGGGGTGGGTAGAAGCAATAGGAATTGTTCAGCGCGACCACGCGCGACTTTGAATGTATATATAGATATTTCACAAGTGGATGCTTTCGTGACTGTTTGATTGAACAATAGGTATTCATGGAAATATTCGTGTGAATTGTGGGGTCGAAAATTAAAGCAATTGAGAACCTTTTTTTTGATATTACGTTGAGATTTTTGTTCTTGGTCAGGTGATGTCAGATTCAAAATTTTAAATGGGACAACCTGTATATTTTGGCATTTTCACATTCCTCCTGATAAAACGATTTCAACAAACGATTACAATAATTGTAGTCTCTATTTATAACGATCAATTTGAGAACTACAGGTACGTCAATATCCTTTGTCCCAAAGTTTTTTGACTACGCTCTTCAATAAAATATGAATGATTAATATAATTTTGCATCCTTTTAATCATCACAATGAATACAGGATTGCCCACATAAACATTGACACCCTAAACTCAAATAATTTGGCAACTGCTCGTTTCAGACGTTTGTAGTAATCGCCGTGGGACAAAAGATATTGAAGTACCTGGTATAGTTCTTGAATTAATCGTTTTAGGCTACAAGTGTGATAGATTGTTGGAATTGTTTTATCGAGAGGAACATAGTAATTCCAAAATAAACAGGTTGTCCCATTAATAATTTTGATTCTGATGTCACGTGACCGAAAACGTAGAGCTCATTGGGTAATATAATATTCAACCCCAAAATTACAATCTTCTACTACTCTTGAGTTTCGAGATATTCCCTGTCTTAATTGTCGTGGGACACCCTGTACATTTATGTTTTTAGAACGCACTATCGATGTGTGAATGTGATGAGTATTTTCGATATTGTATTATCATTATTATAATAAATTTTTGATATCCCATGCAGTTATTGCAGTTTCAATTTAATGCCATAACGTACAAGGCGCTGACGCGACTCCAACAATATGTACTGTTATCTGGCATACACATGCATTTTCAATTCACGCGCAAAACGTACATGACTCTGACTCAACAATGGCAGAACGTACTGTTATTTGGCATCAACCAATCAGAAAGCTTAGACACAGGCCGCATGCCAAATAGATGTACGTTGTGCTTATATGCTGGCCGGTCGAGTGATTTTTCTGAAATTTTCAATACGTAATAATGGCCGAATACGCGTACCATATCTTACTTCCATCATTCTTCGGATTCTGATTGGTCACAATAAATACTCGTAAAAACAGAAACTTCGTTTCAAGGTCAATTCGCGATAGAAAATAACACGTCGCCCCGCCTGACGGCAACAACTTGAACACTTTTGAGCGGTTTGTTTTGAAGGATTAACCAATAATCACAAGCAAATAGCAAATGTGAACCAATGGAAACAGAGTAAACAAACCGCTCTGACAGCTTTCGAAAATTCCAATAGGTGACGCATGCTTATATTCTATCGCGAATAAGCAAGACATTTTCAAACATTAGAAGTTTTTATAGAGAAAAGCTGATAATTGTCCAGTATAAAGCGGGGAGGCAGAATAACATACTTCATAAAGTATAAAGTGTGCTTTATGAAGTGAGTTTTCTAATATATTCTTTCAAATGGGTTGACTCACACTGCTGCATGATCCTCCGATTATCGTCGATCGTGCGCAATCGTTTTGTTAAAAATTTTGGCTGATTTGAATTTGTTATGAAGTAAAACCATAAAACTCATCAAAAGATGTAATGCAGCAAACGATCTGAGTCATGTGAGTGAGTTGACGAAGACATGAATGCCAAAGGAGCATTGTTGGATCGTTGCACTCTGACGTGGAATTGAAATATTGAACGGTGATACTATCTTCAAGCGAAGTGACACTGCCGCCCGCCTAACCCTACGACGGGAATGGGTTGCGTGCAAGAACTGTCAGATGACCGACACTGGAGGCAAAACATTGAAACACAATGTCACTTTTCTTATTTATTTACAAGTGATCGAAATAGATTTTTACAATTATTTTGGCATACGAATCGTATTTTTCTGCTATTCATCAATTCGATCATGCCATCACATTGTGCTGTTGTAAAATGCACAAAAACTGCAGCGGAAGATGAAGGAATCCGGATGGTACATTATGATTTAAAAGTAAGTACCTACTATAGTCACTCACCTATAGTTTTCATTTTTGAAATTTGGTAATTTCTCTGATTTCTCATCGGAATTCCTTCTGCAATAGGAGCTATATAATAGAAATACACCTGAAATTTCTAAAATAATGCAAGAAGAAGAAGATTGGATTCATGCAATCAATCGGGAGGACTGGTCTGACATGCTGACGATCGTGTGTGTTGTAGACATTTTCAATCTATTAGCAGTATTAGCTTCTATAGCAGGAGTGGCAGAAGGCAGAAGGAATTTTAATAAGGAATGACAACATTTCATACTGATAACTATGTGAGATTACTATTTACCTGGAAAATCATATTCCTTAGTCTCTTGCTGCATTTTTTGTGCATTGTACAACAGTACAATGAGAAGGCATGCGTGAATTAATGAATAGCGCAAAAAACACGATTCGTGTGCCAAAATATTGTGAAAAACTATTTCAATCCTTTGATTCCTCTGTAACCAAATAAAAAAGTGAGGTTGTGTTTCAATAAGTTACAGAAGAATGAGGTTGTGTTTCAATATTTTGCCTCCAGGGTCGGTCATCGTGCACGCGACCTATGTGAACAGTCCGCGCTTCATTATTCATCTTTCGCTTTAAGTTGTAAGGTGTCATCTGTACCCACCATAACGCTTCTTGAGTTTGTAACATGTTTGACACCAAGGTCTGTCAACTCTGTCGAGTACTGTCACCAGTCAAATAATTGTTAATTTGTAAGGTCGCGTGCACGATGACCGACCCTGGAGGCAAAATATTGAAACACAACCTCATTCTTCTGTAAATTATTGAAACACAACCTCACTTTTTCATTTGTTTGCAGATGAATCAAAATGTTGAAATAGTTTTTCACAATATTTTGTCATACGAATCGTGCTTCTTGCGTTATTCATTAATTCAAGCATGCCTTCGCATTGTGCTGTTGTACAATGCACAAAAAATGCAGCAAGAGACTATAAGGAATATGATTTTTCAGGCAAATAGTAATCTCACATAGTTATCATTATGAAATGTTGTCATTCCTTATTAAAATTCCTTCTGCCTTCTGCCACTCCTGCAATACAAGCTAATACTGCTAATAGATTGAAAATGTCTACAACACACACGATCGTCAGCATGTCAGACCAGTCCTCCCGATTGATTGCATGAATCCAATCTTCTTGCATTATTTTAGAAATGTCAGGTGTATTTCTATATTAGCTCCTATCGCAGAAGGAATTCCGATGAGAAATCAGAGAAATTACCAAATTTCAAAAATGAAAACTATAGGTGAGTGACTATAGTAGGTACTTACTTTTAAATCATAATGTACCATCCGGATTCCTTCCTCTTCCGCTGCAGTTTTTGTGCATTTCACAACAGCACAATGTGATGGCATGAGCGAATTGATGAATAGCGGAAAAATACGATTCGTATGCCAAAATAATTGTGAAAACTATTTCGATCACTTGTAAACAAATAAGAAAAGTGACATTGTGTTTCAATGTTTTGCCTCCAGCGTCGGTCATTTGATAGTTCTTGCACGCAACCCATTTTATGAATGGCACTTGGCAGGGAGAGTTTTTGGGTTTTTGAGTTTTTGTTTTTGATACATATATAATTATATATATAGATAATTTGAGATGTCTCTGAGACAAAAGTAGTTTAGAAATTCCACTGAAAATAAAAAAATGTGTGAAAATTAATTCATCGTGAAGTAGGTACATAAATAATAGTTTGTTGCCATATCCTCGGCCATACCAATGAATAGTTGCTGGACAATATTTATCTTAGTGTGGTACATAACCTAATATCTTTTTCCTGTTGGAAAGTATACAGGTTTCAGGTTCAGGATAAATAATGAGTAATAGACATAAGAGAAGCCCAGGACCTGTACCACCTAGGTGGCTACACTGTCCTAGGAAGTCTGATGATCTGATTATGGGCAAATTCATGGCTCTGAAAACCCCATTAGGCTCTAATTTTGATGACCAAGTGCCACCTGAATGTAGATTCCCACCTAAAATGTTATTTGATTACTGCAAATCAAAAAAGGTAAGTCCCTTTATGAGTGTTTCCAGAAATAAAAGAAGTGCCTCAATGACAGTATATTGCAAGGTGTATTGTTATCTTTGCCTTAAGTTATTATTGGTTTGAATAGGAAGTGATTCTAGATAAATTTTCTAGTATGTATTCACATGCATTTCCTCAGATTTTATACTATAGAGCACTGAATATATGGAAGCTATTCACTAATAACACAAATTTATACAGCAATTTAATTTATTGAAGTCATACCTATAGAGGGAGTATCAAGTTTATAGTGATATTACAAGTTATGAAAAAGATAGTGAAGGAAATTATGTTTTTTACAGCAACTAGAATGACATTTTCTAAACTCTGCTTTACAAAATTGAATAATTCAAAGGAGATAAGGAACACTCAAAGTAATCTCCACAACTTTTTTAATAATGTAAGTTATTCAGGGGAACATGTTTCCGAATTATAAAAATTGCTCTTCAGCCCAAACAGGAGGACAGTACTACAAAGAGAGTTATAACATCATACAAAATTGGAGAGAACTTTCCTCTCTCCCATTCAAAATAGGAAAGAGAGCTCAATTGATTTGCATCAAATAATACAGGAATTAAAAATTTGAAATATTAGCCTTATTGATAAAAATGGTGTTGGTACAGGGCTGGTTTCATTAATGTGAACCCCTCTTTATCTTTTTTAATTTCCACCTATTCAAAAAATTTGAAACTGATTTTATACAAATACTTTCCAAATTATTTTTCATACAGATTCCAATTACAGTGACAGTGTTGCAATGTATTATCAAGTATACCTGGTATATAGAAATATATGTATATTTCAAATGGGATGCTCTGTATATTTTGATAGATATGAATCTCTTATACAGGGTGTTTCGAAATTCGACCGACAACGCTTGACAGGTGATAACCTTCCTGATTTCATAATCTCTGAGATAGGGACATACGGTCTTGAAGTGTTCAGTTCTCGAGATATAGGGCGTTGAAGTTGAGAAATTAAAATAGTTTTTTCTCGATATCTCATGAAAAATTGAATATAATGCATTCAAATTCGGTATATGGTTTGATCTTCCAATGGTTAATTTTTTGACCAGAAAGACATTCCGAGAATTTTATCCAGAGGTGCGCTACAGAGGGTTGTGATGACTTTTCCGCACATATTTTCTACGCCACTGATGAAATTTCAATTATTTCTAATTTCTCGAATTGATTGTTCAATTATGTTGAAAAAGTGCATCATCTTCAACTAAGCTAAAATGAACAGTTATCGAGATATTTGAACCAAAATAGAAGTTTGCATAGTAATTTTTCATCTTCCTCAGTATTAGAAAATTATAGTCTAAGATCCGAACCTAAATCGACCTTCACCAAGCTGATAATAGAACGAAATATATTTTATCATGAATTTAGTATATTAGAAAACATATTAAAAATGGGTTCGCTAAAAAAATCCTGGGCAGACTATTTATAATTATTTTTCGAAAAATGATTTTTAATGAAATGTTGCAACATCAGGATAATAAAAAAAATTTGTCCTGACTGAAAGTATAAAACATATAGAATGTGCAGCCGTTGGGTTGTCTACTATTTACCTGGGCGAACTACTGGGTTGTCAGGTAAACACAGGTATATCGATGTCAGTAACTTTCACTGGATTGGATAATTAAAAAAAATTTTTATCATCATAAGCGCTGTTTAATTGCGAACACGTTGATATAGGGTTGTCTGCGAAAATTCTGGTCCTATTAGGGGTTTGCGAATTTTAAAGATAAAGTGTGTGACAGAGAGATCCGAGGTAAGTATACTGTGTAATAATAAAGGACCCAACATCGCAGTCGCTTGTGATGGGACCCTGAATAGTAGAAAGTGCGCATGCTCGGTGTTTAAACTATGGAGGGTAGAGGTACCTGTACCTCTACTATCCTTCATATAGTAAACAGTGCGTGTTATTTCGGAGTAGCTTAATGACTTATAATATTATATTGCATCGAAAACTGTTTACTATATAAAGGGTAGTAGAGGTACCTCTACCCTCCATAGTTTACACACCGAGCATGCGCACTTTCTACTATTTAGGGTCTCATCACAAGCGACTGCGATGTTGGGTCCTTTATTATTACACAGTATACTTACCTCGGATCTCTCTGTCACACACTTTATCTTTAAAATTCGCAAACCCCTAATAGGACCGGAATTTTCGCAGACAACCCTATATCAACGTGTTCGCAATTAAACAGCGCTTATGATGATAAATTTTTTTTTTAATTATCCAATCCAGTGAAAGTAACTGGCATCGATATACCTGTGTTTACCTGACAACCCAGTAGTTCGCCCAGGTAAATAGTAGACAACCCAACGGCTGCACATTCTATACGTTTTATACTTTCAGTCAGGACAAATTTTTTTTATTATCCTGATGTTGCAACATTTCATTAAAAATCATTTTTCGAAAAATAATTAAAAATAGTCTGCCCATGATTTTTTTAGCAAACCCATTTTTAATATGTTTTCTAATATACTAAATTCATGATAAAATATATTTCGTTCTATTATCAGCTCGGTGAAGGTCGATTTAGGTTCGTATCTTCTACTATTACGAACATTTTTGTTCTCTCTTTATGCGTGGAATAACTATTTCTGTTCAGCTATAGCATGAGATCTGAATAGTATCTAATCTACTCAACACCAGAAAAATATTTTTGCAATTTTCTACTACTGAAAATGATGAAATATTACTATGCAATCTTCTATTTTGGGTCGAATATCTCGAAAACTGTTTATTTCAGCTCAGTTGAAGGTGATGCATTTTCTGAACAAAATTGAACAATGAATTCGAGGAATTGGAAATAATCGAAATTTAATCAGTGGCGTAGAAAATATGGAAGGAAAAAATGCCACAACCCCCTGTAGGGCACCACTGGACAAAATGTCCGGAATGGCTTCCAGGTCAAAAAATGACCCATTCAAAGATGAAACCATATACCGAAGTTGAATGCATTATATTCAATTATTCTTGAGATATTGCGAAACAACTATTTTCATTTCTCAACTTCAACGCCCTGTATCTCGAGAACTGAACACTTGAAGACCGAATGTTCCTATCTCAATGATTATGAAATCACGAGGGCTATCACCTGTCAAACGTTGTCGGTCGAATTTCGAAACACCCTGTATATTTGAAATCAGGCTGAATAGAAGAATTCAAATCTATCAAACTGTACAGTGCATTCCATTTAAAAAATATATATTTTTCTGTATACCCTGTATATTTGAGGAGATATTGCATCATTCTCAATATGAGTGAAATCTGTATGAAAAATTGTATAAAATCAGCTTTGAATTTTCTTTGAATGAGTGGAAAACAAATAAAATAAAGGGGGTTTCACATCAATGAAACTAGCCTTGTACATTCACAAATTTGAACACAAATTGAATTTAGTAATAGGTATTACTCTGAATTCATCCAATTGGTATAATTTTTTTGTAATTCATACTCTACTGTGATACTACTGATATTCAGGAACATTTTCATTTCTATTCTTAAATTAATAGTATTTATACAGGGTGATTCAAACGGTTGCAGAAGGATTTAAAAGTACTTTGACAAACTTTAAGAGGTGATTCCTCACAATAATCTAATATGAATTGTCCAAATGATTTTAGTTCTGGAAACTCTTCTTTTCAAAGATACAGGATGTTGCAGTTTTATTTCAAAATAACTGTCTAATTACCAAAGCACCTTACTTGAATCTCAAATTCATTTCCTAAGCATTCTTGGGACAATGCAGAATAATTTTTCAGTTCAGCTAGCAACTAGGAATAAGGGTAGCTTTTTTAGTAAGATCGAAAAAGTTATGATTATTCCAAAAAGAAAAATACATGTAGGTGGCGCCCCCTACTAGTAAGAGCAATAATAACATCAGGTTCTAATTTGACACCTCAAAAACCTCTCAATACCAATTTTTGTCAATTAAGGTCATTATTTTGAAAGTTATTTGAAAAATAAGGAGAATAAACCATTGAAAACCATTAATCACACCTCCTGATGTAGCAAAAGTGCTAAGGTTGTAACTTTGAATTCCATATTCTCCTACCTGAGAAATTAGTCATATAAACATTCTTGTACCTGAAGTAAAACTACTGAGAAGAAATGATATTATTTTCTACATTGATGTGAAATCTTGCTCACCCTTTGGAAATTGCCAAAGAGCTGTAAATGTATATAACTATGATATATATATATTTAAACATTTAGTAGTAGTGAAATTAAAGGCTGTTTTACCTCTTCTTAATATTCTAAAAAATCTTTAGTTATAGCTAGTACATATATTAATATTTTAAAAATCTTGAATTTCTTCTTCTTGATTTTATATTTTTACTCAGCTGTTTTCCCCAACACTTGAGTGTTTTGTAATCTTTCTGTGTACTGTATTTTTTCTTTTTTCTGTGTAGTGTATTTTACTGAAGGATAGTAACCAAGATATAATTGGGCCATGGCCTGTTGATTTGGCAGTATAAATAATTAAAGTGAAAAGTGAATTGTAGGGATACCTTCTTGTGCATGATATAATATTTTATTTTTGGAAAATGGTACATGAAAATGCTCTCTAATCAAGTGCTATAATTATGAAAATGTTCATTTAGTGAAAATGTTTGCTTGTTCTTAAACACATATATACATAATTCATATACAAATAGGCATGTCAAAGGCAGAATGTTGTATTTGATAAACAATTCTCTACATGATACTCTATGCCAGACTTTTGCAATGCATCTAATAATGGCTTTTTGAGCAATGAAAACATTTGATACATCTGTGGCATTTCCCGAAAAACATATACCATACGGCAGTCTTGAATCTACTTGTGCATAATACAAATTCAACAGTTGATTTATTTCCAGTACATCTCTCAGATAAGATAACTTAGATGCTATTGTTTTACAATGTTCTTTCTAGTTTAGATTCTCATCTTGATGCTTAAGAATCTAATCGAGTTTTGAATACTATACACTGGACTATTATCAATACTAAAAACCAAATCATTCACTATCTTCTGGCTATGATGAATTCTTAGAACTTCTGTTTACTTGGTGTTGAAAAACAAACTATTATCATTGAAATAATCTGAAACTTTGGTCATCAATTCTGAGCATTTGTTCCCAAGTACATGGGTTTCTGCTGCCGAGATAATGAATGAAAAATCATCTGCATATGCCGTGTAATGTGTATCGCCAATAAATTGATCTAGTTCATCAACATAGAGTATAAAAAGCACAGGGCCCAAAATATTTGGCGATACGTAGATTTAAGCTGTTTCGTTATTGGTCAGATAATCTTCCATTTCCACTCATGAAGCATGGTTGTCAAGTCACCAATTTTAATCAATTTATCAAAAAGTTCAGAGTCTTGTTGAATAAAACACGAGATGAAACATAATCTGAGGAAGCCATGATACTATAGTTCATTATTGACATTTTTGAACAACCAGCATTTCCAAATATCTCTTATACTCCATAACAAAATATCATGTTGTTGAAGACTTGGCAACAATGTGCTGAGTGTTGAGAACTGAGAAGGCTCCGCCCACAATTCGTGCGCCCTGTTGTCACGTTTCCCCTCAAATGTCCTCTATATTTTGAGACAATTGATTTTTTATGTCTAATTAGGAATATAACCAATACAAAATTGAGAATTTATGAATTATTGAATAACTAATATTTCCAACTGTACTATGGTCTGTCTAATTACGAAATTGTGACGTCAGTTTTTACTCACGGTAAATTTTTTGCCGTTTGAAAATTACCGTGGCATTATTGTTGATTTTAGCAACTTGAAACCGAACGAAAAATTCTAAAAAAATATGAAATTGAAAGGTATTTGAGTGACGATTCTATTTAAGAAATAAAAAATTAGTCCATTCGCCTATTATATCATACATTTTTCAAAACGGGAGACAATAGATATTTACGTAACCACTTTGGAAACGCGTAATTTTGTGTATCGAACACGCGTTTTCTAACTAGTTATGTACAGGGTATCCCACAATGTGGGCCACCCCTCTATCTGGTAAACTAGAATAGATACAAAAAAATGAGAATCGAATTTGTTTATATTCAACTATATAGGATGATCCATATGCCTGAGATATATCAAACATCCTATATTTCAAATGGAATACCCTACATTTCATTTCGTCCTTGGATAGAGCTTAGAAAGACGAGTTCAATGATTTATATGGCATCATGAGTCTGAGATCACCCGTTTCGGACGTATCTATGATCTTCTTCACTAAATAGCCAAATTTCAATGCCCTATAGAAACGTTGAGAATCAATGTTGCCTTGCAGAGTTTTCGTCATAAATTAACAAATTCTATGTCACTTCGATATTTCGTCAATATTTCGGAATTTTGAATTTGCCGCCGAAAGTGATGACGTATTTTGCAAACCGATCATATCCTCAGAATTTTCGGATGGAACACCCTGTATTCCATCTCATCTTTGGATAGAGCTCAGAAAGACGAGTTCAATGATTGTTCTTTTTGTTCTTATCCATCATCCATTGCCCCCTTACGAGCAACCCTCAAAAGTCTTCAAGAGACTTGTGCGTGCAAGGAATTACGGGGGCCTTCCCTTTTAACGTGTGATCCCAAACACTTTCTTAGGCCATCAGAAAAATGTTTGCGGTCGTGGTGGGAATTGAACCCACCTATTGGTAATCCAATGTGGATAAAAACTGAAGCTTCTACCACGAGGCTACGCTGGCCTAATGATATATGATTGATATTTCGTCAATATTTAGGAATTTTCAATTCGCCGAAAGTGACGACGTATTTTGCACACCGATCGTTTTCTCGAAATTTTCAAATGAAATACCCTGTAATTTATCTCATCTTTAAATAGAACTCAGAAAGACGAGTTCAATGATATATGATAACATGGGTCTGAGAACATCTCAAACACCTGTTTCGGAGTTATAATAGAATTTTTAATACCTTCGAAACGGTTGGGATGTATGTTTTTAAAATGCGATTTTCTCTAAAACGGCACAAAATATTGATTAAAATAAAGTATACTATAATCTCTGGTAAAAGTCCGCTTCAAATCTAAAAATATAACCTTTTAATAATGTTCCGATAATGTAATGTGTAACAAGTTTCTTCAATTTCAATGTAATTGCAGATAATTTTTTCACCTTCATGTAAGAGATTGTTTGGCTAGCATTTCACTTTACACTCATTTTTGGGTCTTGTAGTACTAATTTCTTGTAGACCGATGATGGACATATGTATGTCCGAAAACATCGAGGAAAACATGTTCCCCCTGATGTGACATTGTTCACATAGTAAACTGTTGTGGAGATAATTTTGAGTTTTATTTAGTTATTAAAGTATACTATTTTTGTAGAAAAAAGATAAAGAAATCAATCGGTGGAAGCAAACTGTCAAATTTGTCACCTCTGTCCAAAAAACCTGCATTAAACGGAAAAAATTCAGTTGCCATGGCAACCGTTTACATGTTTTTTTTGCGATAGGCATTTTTTTTATATGAAGTACTCACATTATTTTGACTGTTTTCGAAAATAGAAATAGATCTTTGAATGAGGAGATATATGGAATAGGTCTATTATTATAGAATAATAAAAATATAAGAGTAGGCTATTTAGTTATAAATTCATTCTGAAGATGCTACCATTGTTAGCGAAACACGTGTCGAGGCGTTAAAAAATCGGTTTGGTTAGTGGTGAATCAGTGCAGTGACTTTTTCTCTAAGAAGAGCGTGAATGATTCAGTCCCATGCAATCAAACATATCGTCCATCTTTATCTACAAATTAAATTAAATTGAGGGGGTTCTTTTTTTCTAGAAAATGAATTTTCGAAATACAGCATCACCTTTGGCGAATTCAAGATATCTAAATTTTGATCAAAAATGAAGAAAACATACAGAATTTGTTGATTTATAACGAAAAACGTGCACAAAGAACTTATTCCAGAGGGCTTCGAAATTTGACTACTTATTGAAGAAGATCGTGGATAAGTCCGAAACGGGTTTCACAGACCCATGTTTTCATATATAATTGAACTTGTCTTTCTGAGCTCTATCCAAAGATGAAATGAAATACAGGGTGTTCGATTTGAATATTTCCAGAAAATGTTCGGTTTGCAAAATACGTCATCACTTTCAGCAAATTCCAAATTCCTAAATATTGACGAAATATCTTTGTTACCTTATGACGAAAACTACGCATCGAAAACTTGATTCTCAACGATTTGGCTATTTATTGAAGAAGATCATGAATAAGTTCGAAACGGTGATTTCAGACTCATGTTATCATATATCATTGAACTCGTCTTCCTGAGCTCTATCGACGGACGAAATAAAATTTAGGGTATTCCGTTTGAAATAACGTATATTTGGTATGCCATAGGCATATGGATCATCCTGTATAGTTGACATTATCTGAAAAATTTTCTCAATTCTCATTTTTTTTGTATCTATTCTAGTTTACCAGATAAGAGGGTGTGGTTATTGGATTTGATCCTGACAGCCCTCGGCGCACTAGAAGGGGTTCGGGTTCCACTAGAAACTGTATGTCCCGATCATCCTAACCCGGCACAAGTTTTGGCTTCTGCTGAGTTGGTTTTCAACTTCGAAATAATGATATACAAATTGTAATCAAAATATGAATTGAAATTAGTTGGTTACAAATACTTTAGATGGATGTTGCTTCATAATTCTGCTAGTTTTGGTTGCTCTTGATTTGCTCCTAACTCAACTCACCTATTACTGTCATTGGGAATATCATCTCAACAAAATGCAATTCCCAACATGTTCAATTTTTCAGATTAAATTTGGCTTGTGGATAGATTTGACAAATACCAGTAGATTTTATGACAAAAGAGAAATAGAAGAAAATGGTTGTACTTACATGAAACTGCAGTGTCGTGGACATGGAGAAACACCTACAATGGAACAAACCGACATTTTCATCCATATCGTTCATAATTTCATTACTAAGTACCCACTGAAATGCATTGCCGTACATTGTACACATGGTTTCAATCGTACAGGATTTTTAATAGTCTCTTATCTAGTGAAAAAAACTGACTGTAGTCTGGAAGTAGCACTGGACATGTTTGCTAAATCTAGGTAAGAATTGGTTCCATGAGAGTAATGAAAATCATTAAAATATGTATTGATTCGGCCGTTACTTGACGAAATCGATAGAAAATGTAAAAAGCTTTAAAAACGACAAAGTTTCCTCAAAATTCTTAATAACACAACATTTTCCGCTATCACAGTAGCTTCTTTTAGTGAAATACTCGTGCAATCTTATCGTTTTTGGAGTTTTTTTGCATAAAATCAGTAAAAGTTAATTGAGGGTTTGTGTCCTGTATTTTATTTTATAGTAGTATTAGCAGCACAGAATAGACAAGCGAGTATTGAATATCCCCCCGGTTCGCCGCGGGAGGGAGATAAACATATAATAACGACTCGCTCAGTTTTGTTGCCGTGGCGGTATCTCTTTGTGAATATCGAAAACACGGAAAGTAAGAAAATATTCTTTCTGCATGAAGAGACTACTTTTTCCAAGAATCTTACCTATCTCAGCCGAATATACAGGATATTTCAAAAGTCAGAATTAAAATTTCAGGGACTCATTTATTTTCAGGTCAGAATAGACTTTTTCCCTATAAACATGTTTCCAAAACCGCTTCGTTACTCTACAGAGAGCAGTGTTCTAAGCTTCAATTTTTTTTTCATTCATTGCAGTTAGAGATTGCAGTAAGGTCGTCCCCCACGAAAAAACAATGTTACGGTTTCGAAAATGAAAATAACTTTTAAATAGAAATGTATCTGCCAGCTTCAACATTCAAATAACTATTGCTTGAATGAGAAAAAAAAACCATATGGAAGAAATACAATTCTAGGTGAGGTAGAACGTTGTAGTATTAATAATAACATGCAACTTAATTAATCATCTGGGTATATTGAAAATGATCACACATTCCATACCTTTCTGGTAAAATATTTGTCTTGAAGAAATATACATGTTATATTTTTTCAAATGATGAGTTTTTTCTAGTTCATGAATTCTATAATAGTATAGGTAGAATTCAGCAAGTGGCGATAGCACTCTGATGTCAAAAAATTATTTGAAATTGTGAATTTTTCTCCAATGAATAATGTCGATCTAAATGAGAGGATACCTCTCGCCTACTAACTATAGCGTTTTCTTTCAGATCGACAATGGTAAGGCGAAATATGACAAGTTATTATCTATCACCCACGGAGACGAAACCAAACTGAGTGAGAGGTCATAATATGTCCTTCTCTCTCCCGCATGGAACCGTGGGGATATTCAATACTCGCAATAGACAACTATTTGGTGTGTAATATGTACATCGTTCGCTTGTGTCTATACTAAGTGGCCAGTATCCAAATATTCTGAATGGTGTATTCTGTGCAAACCTTGATACTAACTCCATACACCACCTTAGAAGTAGCACTGTTAATGCGTAAACAATAGTGAATCGTGCAGAACTATTCCCAGCCGATGCTCTAAAACTTTACAGTATTTAAATTCATAAATCAAATATTAGAAAAATTCGAACCCACAACCTTCTATTCCGACGCTCGAAGCATTTCGGATAATGATTGAACAAGAAGTATTTTTTTTTCCTATTTCAACCCTGCTGATCCAACCTGAAGTGAGATCTTTAAAAGATGGCCACCAAGATCGTAGCAAAATCTGAATATCTTGTTTATGCCGATCCCCCTTAGACTAAAAACGTGGTTCCAATGTCTAGGTATATGTTTCCTGGATGATAATATCATTGGGAACCGCAAAATAACATCCGTAAGTAATTTCCAAGATGGTGGAGAATATGGCGGAAGACTCTGAAAATCACGTACCTTCCATCTTCTAAGGCCTAGACAGATGATTCAAATTTCCAGATATGGGTTATCAAGAGCAAAAATCATTGGAATCATTGGAATTTCAAATATAAACTGAATTTCAAACATGGCGCTAGGAAATCGTGTATCTCCAAAGGTCTTTGTAATAGAAATGTGGTTCCTCGAGTTTATTCTCAGGATTCTTTGTAGAATTGTAACATATGAAATTGGACAAATGAAATGTGGTAATATGATCATCTTCTCATAAACCTCAATGTCACGTCATAAGTCATAATATTAGTCAGTTTTAATCAATCAAAGCTGAAGTTGTCGTGTCTCTATGGTTTCCAACGCTGTTTTCCTAGTTGGAATAGACTTTAGGCTGCTTATTAATATTTTATCATGATAATTTGGATGATGAACATTCAAATATAAGAGTATTATGCTATGAAGAAGCATAATCTATAATACCCTGCAGAAAGTATATTTGAATGAAGTGGTTCAACTTTGAGTTGAGATACTATACTGTCAAGAAAGCCAAGTCAATAACAAAACATCGTTGAAAATATCTTTGGAAATGAATTAAATTAAGCATGATTACATCCTATTACCTTTTTTGTCACATCTCTAGATTTCAAATTGAAAAATAATGGGAAATAGGAACTATTGAGGAAACCATTGAACCAAAAACACATTTTATGAATATTTTGGCGCGGTTCTAGATTTATTTGACAACTGTCACAAAAAATATCAACTAGATGTACAAGCTTCCAAGCTTCTTCAATTGTTAATTCTTAGTAGTTGAGATGAAAAAGAGGACCATCTCCTTAGTTTTTAATTCTCAACTTGAATGACAGATTGAATCATTCAAATGGACCAATCATCTCTCAAAAATTCTTAATCTAATTCTTGATTGTCAGTTCAGTTGAGTTTATGAATTATGCCAGTATTTGATGAGAAGGGTTATGAATAAAATTTGCGAAGTTATTTTTGTGGAACTGTTGAAGTTCTTCCGTCAATAGGAACTAGATCTAATAACATTTAATCTATGTCTCCCAAAACCCACAATGGTAGGTAATTTGGAAAACTCAGAAGCAGATAGCACTGGGCACTAACGAGGTTGGAGGTTATGTCTGCTGTCTGTCCTATTTTTATTTATTCATCTTAATTGTTATCAACATGTCCCAACGTTGTATTATTTCTTTGTATTCATGGAATAAGCATCTCATACAGGTACATGCATCATAACTTGTATTGTCTATACAGACCGTTTATCGAATCGTTGCATATAGGGATATAGGGCATTTGGATGGCAACATCACAAGATACTGATTCGGCTATCGCACGTCTTCGCTAGTCTCCGTCTCTATCTTCGCCTCCTACAGTGAAACAACCGCTATTCTCCGTAGCTGACAATGTTGCCAAATGCCATACTTTATACTCCTATATCTCTCACAGGACACAAATGAAATAGAAATACGAAATATTTTGAATGAAGTTAATCAAGATGCTGCCCCAAGTCACAATAAAATAGGTATGAGATACCTACTAGTTGTTCAGGAAGCACTAGTTTCTATTTCGGTAGTTTTAGTACATGGTATCTTTAAAACAGGAGTTTTTCCTAATATTCTGAAAATCAGCAGAGTGACCCCTATCCATAAGTCAGGTTCAAACACAAATTAGAAAATCATCGACCAATTACTGTAGTGTGTGCCCCTTCGAAAATTGTCGAAACCCTTGTAAAAAATCGTATTTCGAGTTTTCTTGAAAAGTTTGTGAAACTGAACAGATATCAATATGGTTTTCAAAATAGTGAGTGATACAATGGACTCTTTACATCATGTTCCAACAAATCTTGATAACAAAAAAAATCATTATCACTGTTTTCGTAGATCTGCAGAAAGCATTTGATGTGGTAGATCATGGCATCATATTGAATAAACTATGGTTAATGGGAATAAGAGGCAGAATGTGGAATATTTTAGAAACATATTTATCAAAAAGATAACAATATGTCATCATCGATGAAGTAGAAAGTGGAACTGCAGTCATAAACTGTGGTGTACCTCAAGGCTCGGTCCTAGGCCCCCTATTATATTCCTTGCATGCCCTAAATCTGCAAATTTCAAATCTCAAAGCACACTATTTTACACTCGATTTTACATTTGCTGATGACACCATTCTCGTTTATTCTGATTCAAATCCCTCTCGGCTGGAGGAACTAGTTACTAATGATCTAAATAAATCGAGAAATAAATACTCAAAATGGCAAACGCAAAACGATTTAAAAATAAGCATCAAGAAAACTCATTATTTTCCGATACCTTATAACTACCTGAGGTACAGCATCAAAACAAGTTCTCAATAAAATGAAAACTCTCCAAAATGAAATTGTAAAAACTTTTTACAAATTCGATTATAGAACACCAACCAACACTGTTTATAGGGAAACTAATATATTATTATTACCTTTAAAAACAATATTACAAATAGAACGATGCAAATTCATTTATGGAATACTTAATAATCAACAAAACCCTACTGAACCAAATGCATCTTCATGAGGAGACAAGAGCACAAAACCAAATTTACTTACCACAAGTTAGAACTGCAGTATCATCAAACGACCCAATTTCTAAAGCAATAAAAGAATATAATAACCTACCTATGGAAATGAAAAATAAAGAGAGTTATTCATTATTCAAAGTGAAACTAAATGAATACTTCAATTCACAAAGCATTATATGGTATATTATATATTCTATATGATTTTTAAATAAAATTACATATTCAAAAAATATGTAACGATTCGATGAACATGTATAGTATTCATGCATATCCATGTGATTTAGATGTCACTTTACTTCTACCCACAAAAGTGATATCACTCGGGAGCAAAATAAACTGACATAAACAATATCTAGACCGCTAATGCCATAAGGAAGAAGGTAAGCCACTCGATCGATCGAGTTAGGAAAGCTAAATCATGCGTACTTAGGGCATATCATATACCGGGTGACCAGTTATATTCTGACCCATTTCAAATGCTCATATCTCTGAAACCATTCAAGTTATCGTTGTGCGGTGTGGACTAGTCTATTTTGATGTTTTTCAAGTTTTTTTTGACAAGCAAGCAATAATCATCATAATCACCTACCTATTCATGTTACAAACATGGAGGCTAATAAATTCAAAAAATGGGTGAGACAATTTCTGACAAAATCATGTTTTTATTCTGTATCAGAGTACATAGACTCCCCTCCGTCATATGACCATCGTCACTGACCACAAAATATTCCTAAAAATATCATTGTCCTGGAAATATCTTTGTTCCGAAACTAGTCTGTGCATTATTTGTTTAGTATCGTCTTTCTATCTGTATTTTTATCTATATTATTTTTTTTTTGTATCTTGTTACTTCACTTGATATCTCATATATCACGAATCGACTTTTAACCTGACTTGCTGCAAAATGTATATACATTAACGTGGTCAAATAAAGTACTTACTTACTTACTTACTTACTTACTTACTAATCCAGGTATAGGGCAACTTTTGTATTTCATTGAATCACCCTGTATATTTTTGCACATTCAGAAAGACTGGTCTTTTCTCTATCTAACAATGTATTACAAGTTATGTTCTCCTAGAAAACTATTAGAGTTATAAATCTTTGAAACAACTACTGCTTGTGGAATGGTTTAATGAGATTATGCAATGTTATCAAAGTTACCCTATACCTGAATAATGACTTGTTTGTTTCCGGTAGAACCGGAAGTTCAGGTGAGAAGGTGAACCAGTCAAAAAACTTGAAAAATTTAAAATAGAGAAGTCCAAACTGCACAACGATAATTTGAATAGTTTCGTAGATATGAGCAGTTGGAATGGGTCAGAATATAACTGGTCACCAGGTATTATCTTACTCACTCTTACTCATGTTTGTGAACACCAAGACACATGGAGGATTCCTGCGCATTGAGCAGAAGCGTTTTCAGGCGAGCAATTTACCCGAGCTTTTCGGGTTGCTGAGATACGACATATAGCGGTCTAGATAGTAGGCAAAATTGGACATGGCTGTCATTATACCCAATGATTTACAGTAAAAAATGTATATATTTGTATGACAGTGAAACACTGGGATTTCCCTTTTTCGGATTTTCATCATATCTGGAGAAATGTTGAAGTAGTTTTGAAATTCCGAGATATTAAATTTTGACAATAATTTCAGGGTTTTCATTGCATGTGTTGTTGCAGACTCTGAATGAAAAAAATGTAGTTTGCCATTTGGTGTTCCCCTATTCACCATCTATCGATTCGTTTTTTAGACCAGTTGGTATTTATAAGGAAGACTACATTGTAGAGTTGTACAGAAGATATAATAAGTCTGAAGACCCTCCCCCACCACCTGTTCTTCCCGACTGGTGCTTGGAAAGTGATGATACAACTGGTAGCAATAATCTTGATGATTATGATGAAGGACCAAATGAGAGTGCTTCTACTTCATCAGAGTAAGTACATCTAATACCAGCATTGATTATCCAAGTCTTACCCTTTCTTTGTTAATTGGCTGTTGACACTTATGAAAGAAGCTATGGTGAAAATTGTAACAAATTCATTAAATACTTGATAGCCATTGGGAAAAAAAGCTCAGTCTTATTCAGATGCGCATTTGTTGGTGTACTCATATTTCATCATCATCATTAATTACATTGTTGAAGATGAAATACAGTGTGACCCATTTAAGATGGAAGCACCCTTATAAAACTTACATTTTTCAACCGATTGGAATGATTTTTTTTTTGTTAGGTAGATATTCAAAAAGTCTATTAGGACACCAAATATCATGAATAAATCTCCATTTCCAGGGCCAACTAATCTGATTTTTCAAGGTCAAAAATCTAAAAAAATTACTAGCGATTTTTTTAGAAAAAATCTGACTACACCACTGGATTTGTGACATTTTCAAATGGGTAACATGTAAATTACGTTGAAATGCGTCAATCAATAAAAAAGTTATAAAGGAATGAAATTTGAAAAATATGCCGTTTAATCAACCCACCAATTCATGTTCAGGAATTTTATGAAAATTCTGTATACTCCACTGGATTCAGGATGTCTTGAAATATTACTGATCACAGTTTCATCGAAATCTGTTTAGTAATAAAAATTGATGGGTTGATTAAACGGCATATTTTTCAAATTTCATTCCTATATAACTTTTTTATTGATTGACGCATTTCAACGTAATTTACATGTTACCCATTTGAAAATGTCACAAATCCAGTGGTGTAGTCAGATTTTTTCTAAAAAAATCGCTAGTAATTTTTTTAGATTTTTGACCTTGAAAAATCAGATTAGTTGGCCCTGGAAATGGAGATTTATTCATGATGTTTGGTGTCCTAATAGACTTTTTGAATATCTACCTAACAAAAAAAAAGTCATTCCAATCGGTTGAAAAATGTAAGTTTTATAAGGGTGCTTCCATCTTAAATGGGTCACACTGTATTTGTTATTTCTCGAATACACAGCCATGTAACTTGGGAAAAAATAAAGAAAAAATATGTCCATATAAAAAAAATGCTTTGTTTTTCAAGGTATTATCAAGATAGAGTATTGCCATCATAAAATATAATGACGTCATAACTCGAACAGGGATGGCGTTAATGAAAATATGAGAATTTGTTCCAACCTTTATGTGCTCATTTAGGTATAATCTACTCTTATGCCATACAATAGAAGTTCATCCATTTACGAGAATATATCGTTTTCATTCTTATTCATATTTCTGAACACCAATTGACATAAGTTGATATCATAAATGACAGATTGGATGCTTTTGCGCATTGCACAGAAGCACAATTTAGATGTGATTTTTTCGTAGTGGGTATATGATTTTAACGATCTTGATATTATACAGGGTGTTACAGATTTAAATGTACATATGATACCTGCAGATAGAGGACACGAGGTTTCAAAATCATCTCCCATTGATGTGTTTACCGTCTTTTAAAACTCAGATACAGGACGTTATTTTGATTTTGGCAAAATCTACATTTGATAATGATTTTTTAACCACTTTATATAATCTATTCTTACTTGGTGAGAATATTCCACTTATATTACCCATCAAAACTAATTAAAAATCGAGATCAGAATCCAAGTACGTCTCAAGGAAAAACATAAAATTTCTTTTATTTTAAAAACAACACTCCATATGGCAAAATTTTGTAGATCTGTTTTGAAATTTGAAAAAAGCAGAAAAAAATGAATTAATTGATCTACTTTTTACGAGCGCGTATCCATTTTGACAGATGTTTTATTATTATATTGTGTTGAGGTATAATTATGAACACTTTGAAATGTAACAACACAATACATGCACCAACAATTATCTCAACGTTACCGATAATATCACACTAGTGATTATGAACTGTCAAAACAATAAACATTTCTGCACATTCTACTTTACCGCTGCTTATGAATCAATAGTGCAGAGTAAAATGGGCTCTCGAATATTTCTAAAATCATAGACAAGTTATTCTGCCAAACGAACAAATCTATCGATATGACTTTAACCCTTCGATATTGATATTGAACTCTGAAGACTATTTTTATTATCAGAATTGGATTTTGAATTGCGAGTTCAATACAAATGCCTCGAAATGGAGCTGAATATTTAAAAAAAAATAAAAATAAAACATCTGGCAAATTGGATGCACGCTCGTAAAGATATATCACTTCATTCATTTTTTCCGCTCTTTTCAAATATCGAAACAGATTTACAAAATGATGCCATAAAGAGTATTGTTTTTGAGAAATAAGAGAAGTTTTCTGTTTTTCTTCAAGGCGGACCTGGATTCTGATCTTGATTTTTATTTAGTTTTGATGGGCAAAATAAGTGGAATATTTCTACCAAGTATGAATAGATTATACAAATTGGTTAAAAAACTATGACCAGATGAAGATTCTTAGTTATAAAAGACGGGAGACAAATCAATGGGGGGGGGGGTGATTTATAACTATCAAAGGCATCAAAGTGTCCTCTATCTACAGGCATCGTATATACATTAAAATCTGAAACACCCTCTATAAATTATATGTCGATGGCTCTACCGGTCAACCTGATTTAGCAGGCATGCAAACCACTTTCAGAATTCATAACTTTTGGAATATATCAGTTCTATAATATATCGGTTATGTATACAACTTTTTCATTTAGAGATAGATAGTTTCAATTGTGGTGTTCGATAACTGGCTATTAGATCGATCTACAAATTGGAATGTTTGATGATGACGTCAGTTTCTAAAATGTATCAAATTTGACTAAAAATTAGCTGAAAGCCATTTCACTTTGTTAATCCCGTTAGAGTTTTTATTGGCATTGGAGCTACCAGAGATGTTACAATTAGTCATTTCCCACCTCATCTGATTGTGTTTCTAAGAAATTTATTTTGTTTTGAGCTTTTGAACTTCCAAGATGCTATAATTCGTGTCATAATGTAGCTTCACTTCTTCATACGTTTTAGTGTCAGCAGAAATAATTTAGTTCCGAAAGTGAAGAGGGCGCGAAACAAAAATACTCCCAAGTTCATGGAAGGTGTACCGGGTGTTTCTCTATTTGAAGAACAGCCAAAAGCTTTCCAGCTGCAGAAGAAAGTTCAGGTTATGTGTGAGTGGAGAAGTAAGGGATTTCCAGGCAGTCAACCTGTTTCTATGGACATTCAAAATATTGAATTATTGAGTCAGAAACCATATCGGTAAGAGAATGATTATTATGATTTGGTTATGGAAGCTTTTGGAATGATTTTTTTATATTATGGGGAAAAATCATATTTAATACTATTCCACTTCGTCATTCATCTCATATTCTATAACCACTGAAGCCTTTAAACATGGAAATATTACTTCAATCGATAGTTTTACCATTCCGGAACCGATTTTGAAATGACTAGACATACTAGGCAAGAACACAAATGAGAGAATTCAATATGTTTGTACATATAACTAAAATATTGTAGTAATATAATGCATCAATTTTTTGATAAAATATGCTGTGATACTTCTAAAAACACCATTTGAATACCCTACAATTTCATGGAATGTCCCATAGCGGCAAACTCGACTATTCAGTATTGACGTCATAATGCCCTTTGCCTGTGTTACCAGCTGTTTTATTTTGAGAAAATATCAAATAAATATTTCCCTATTTTCAAATCAATCCAACTGTGAACTTTCGAGGCCATTAAATATTCAATGATGTAGTAAATCCCCCATTGCCAATTCTACAAGTTCATAGCTGACATGAATACTAATCGATATTGGGTGTAGCGACAAACGGTCGAATTCTCAATTAATATTGGTGTTCTGAGGGTTATGCAATTTAACTGAATGATTTTGGCATGAACCTCAAATTCTGATGACATCACTTTGATATAGAGATGGGTTTACGCCGGACGCATTCATTTACGCCCGGAATTTTCATTAAATGCGCCCGGGCGTTTTCCATCGAATTAAATTTGATTTTTTATTTTGTTGGAAATGGAATGAGCTTTCTTTCCATATCAAATACATGATACAAATAACATTCCTGTCAGACAGTTCTGATGGAATGGGTAAATTGTTAATAATACTGATATTTTCTACAATGTATCTTATTCATTGATTATTTTAGAACAGCAAAACAAATTTCATTTAAAATTGCCTTGTAGAAACGTATAATGTGACTGACCGACTGGTTCCACTGCATTTTTATCATTCGATGGTCTCGCTTTTCTCTATTGGATGTTGATTCTGCATTACTTTTTTGTTGTTTAATATTTTTTCTCAGAGTAGAACGTGATTCTTCAATTTAGTAGAGTGTGCTAAGTAAATTTTCTTGCAAGATTGGCACTCTGCATGTTTTTCTTCGTTCATTAGTTTTTCTTTGAAAAATTTCCATGATTCGCACACTTATACGAGAGCTGTTTTCTTGTCGAAGTAAACTTGACATTCTAATGAAAATTTTGTTGCCTGGACATCAAACAAAAAAATACCTTCGAAAAAATTACGAGTCTGTAGTTTTTTGATTTAAATTTCTTGAAGGCAACAAAACTCGAATTGTAAATCTTGTTTACTTCGACCAAAAAAAAAGCTTGAGTGTAATTAGGTTACACAACTTAATGAATGTGTAAATCACATTATTGATGAATTTTCCAATTTCTCCACTCAAAGACTCTCCAAATCGCGGAATTTCCACAGATATTAGGTACTTTTCTGACAACGTAAGAGTAAGAAAGATTGATATAAACGCCATCAATCAAAATTCTGGTTGTCATGAATTCAAATGTTAGGTTTCGTTTCATCGCTGGTAAACTTGGGGCAAAGTTTTTTTGCTGTCATAATGACAAAATCGCAGCGGCTTATGGGATTTTCTATATATGAATAGTAACAACAAAAGTGGGTAACAACCGCCATATGCTTTCTGTTGCTATTAGGTGTTTTCCAAAGCAGTATATTCGAATTTTCTCGAAAGCGCCTGCTCGCTTAGGGCGCTTCCCGGGCGATTATCAGGCGGATATCCGATAGCCGTACTTTAATGTCCATGTTATAATACAGGGTGTCTGTGAAAGGTCTTTACAAAAACATACCACCTATTCCTTAGACCAAAATAAGTCGATTCAAGAAAAATTACCTCAGTACAAAGTTGCATCGTTTGGGCTCCAGAAGGCCTTGAAGTTATAATTTTTGAATCGTTTTTCCCATATAAATTTAAAACGGCATATGCGATTTCGCTGAAATTTGGTATATTGATAGAGTTTTATGTGGCAAAAAAAATTTCCTAGAATTCAGAGATGATTTTGTTGAATATAATAATATACCCACTTTTTCGATAGTTCCTTGTCCAACGGGAAACTAAAAGCATGAACTTTTGGAACAACCACATAATTCCCCCGACGAAAGGGAACACAACACTTGACAGGCATTGTTATTTCATCTATCACAACACAAAATATTTCACAAAAAAGAAAGTTTTCCGCCAATTATTTTGATGAATAAATAACAAAAGAATTCGGGACCGCTTCATGAAAAAACATACGTGAATCACCGAACATGGATAAACACGAACTGACGCGGTCCCATATTTCAGAAACGGCTCAGAGAAAATTTATGAAAACTTCGTCAGGATGGTTGTTGATGATGCCCGATTCAATGGTGATATCGGTAATGTTGCCAAATCAACAGTTTTTTAGGGTAACTCAATTTTTTCAAATTGAATACCCTATTTGTTTTCATTGCAATACATTCAGCGACGCCTCATTACTTATGTCTCCAAATATCAGATTTTAAATTGAAGTGGTTTTCGAAATATGACATGGCATTTTCTTTCAAAAGTCTGGGAACCTTCTAATATTTTCAATACGGTTCAAGGAAAATTCATGAAATTTTATACAAGATGGTTTCTGATGATGCCCGATTCAATGGTGATATCGGCAATGTTGCCAAATCAACAGTTTTGGAGACATAAGTAATGAGGCGTCGCTGAATGTATTGCAACGAAAATAAATAGGGTTTTCCATTTGAAAAAATTGAGTTACCCTAAATATCTGAAAAACTGTTGATTTGGCAACCGATATCACCATTGAATCGGGCATCATCAACAACCATCCTTTCGAAGTTTTCGAAAATGCTATGTTGTCATATTTCGAAAATCACGTTAATCACGGATTTTATATTCAGGGTCTCAAGTAATTAGGAGGCGCTTAATTAATTGCAATAAAAATAAATGGGGTATTCCATTTGAAAAAATAAAGTTACTCCTAATATCTGAAAAACTGTAAACTTGGCAACATTGCCGATGCCACCATTGAATCGGACATCATCAATAATCACCCTGTAGAAAATTTCGTGAATTTTTCTCAAGCCGTTCCTGAAATATGAGACCGTTCCGATACTTCTGAAAGACACTGTATATACTACATCCACTTCCTTCTGAGAGAAATTAACAAAACAACAATATAATAATTCCAACAATAATAAACAAAGACGGAACTTAACTACACTCACTTTCTTTCATGAAAAGTCTACAAAATAATAATATATGACAGAACCATGAGAACTTTATTTATTATATTAACCTAACACCTATATACTTGATATGGAATGAAAGTAAAGTATATGAAATGGTGAAGCAAGGGGTATAATAGTTAGTTGCCAGATTACTTTGTGACATTTTGTTCATGGTCCGAAGTTTTTTGTTCCTCCTTTTCGCAGACCTTCCACTCTCCCTCAACTTTATTCAGATGTACCACATTCCGTCTGTACTCTTTACCTGTCTCATCATTTCGTACTTTGACGTCACCTCCATCTTTATTAATAACTGTGTGTGTGCTTGGATTGAAGTTGGGGCAAGTTTTATTTTCCTTTGTCATGTTTTTCAGATAAACGTCGTCGCCCAGTTCTACGTCATCCTGTTTTGCGCCACGCTTCCTGTCACTGTAAGCTTCCTTTTTCTTTATTTGCTTTATCTTTGTCTCTTACTTCCCCATCCAGATAATCTTGATTTTTATATTTCATGTCTATACAACTGGGTAGTTTATCCCTGAACTGCCTGCCAAAAAATAGTTCTGACGGAGTTTTTCCCGTCACAGTATGTGGTGTACTATTGTACATCATTTGGTAATCGAGGAGGTCTCGTTTCCAATTTGTTCTCAGAGAGTGACTTATTTTTATTCATTTCAATAAATCCAGGTTTTGACGTTCGACTTCTCCATTTTGTTGGGGCCAGTAGGGTATTGTATGTTGGAGAGTTATGCCAGCTTTCAAGCAGAAACTTTTGAAGTCTGCACTCACAAACTGTCGACCGTTATCGGCAGTAAGAGTAGATGGATATCCAAGTCTAGAGAATATCTCTTGAAGAATATTCATTGTCTTATTACTCGAAATGTCTCGAGTGATTTTTATCTCTTTGTACCTGCAGTAATCAATAATAACGAATATACCGGGTGGCTACGGAAGTATTGCCTACGGAATATCTCAGTTATTGTATGAAGTAGGTTTGTGAAATTTGGAGCGTCGATATAATGACATAAGAGCTAGAATTTGAGCATATTGACATGTCGAAGTTAACTTCCGGTGTGACCGGAAGTAACATCAACTTTCTTATTTTAAATGGAAACCCTATTTTTTTTCTTTTCGCTTTATTCAGCATTCAATTCCCTTTCCAATGACATATCACAAGTTGGTATCTAACCAGAAACTAGATCAGAAAAAAATTATTATTGAAATTCACCGAGTAGGCCGTGGAAGCAAAATGAAAGCCAAAAATTGAAAAGTTGGCTATGGAAACCATACGTCACTTGATAACAGTTGCTACTACTGTGATATTTTATTTTCATTCGTCGGCGTTATAAAAAGCCCCCAAAAAAAATATTGGAAAAATTGGGAAAAAAACAATACTCTGTAGGTCCATAACTTAAATAGGAACATACAACTTTTTCTTGCCTGTACTATTCAGCATAACCATTCCTCTCTAATGATATAATAGAAAGTCATTTTTTGAAATGAAATACCAAAAAATCTAATTATTATTCTTCAGATAACAAAACAGATTAGATACCAACTTGTGATATGTCATTAGAAAGTGAATTGAATGCTGAATAAAGCGAAAAGAAAAAAAATAGGGTTCCCATTTAAAATAAGAAAGTTGATGTTACTTCCGGTCAGACCGGAAGTTAACTTCGACATGTCAATATGCTCAAATTCTAGGTCTTATGTCATT